GAACAGGGAAGCCATTAGTGTAAAGAGACAGCAGAGGAGAGTATTTTTATGGGGTGATTGGTGAGTCTTAAGTTGATGTGGGGGAATTACTGGGAGTCAACAATAAACAAAAAAGAGTGTTTGGGAGCTGAAAAGGGTTGTGAAGGAGAGAGTTAGAGTTCTGTCTCAAGGCTCTTTGGTACTAGCCTTTGCCTTACTCAATTCTACTTATATATTTGTTCCTCTGGCACAGGTGAGCAAGAGGTTCTGGTCCAGTGTAGAGCTAATGAGCTTGAGATGGCTGCTATTTGCCATGCTGCCCTTTCCTCTGCTTCCTGCCTGACAAATTCATTCATTTCTGCCTTCTTATAGCAAAGCAGAAATTGAACAAAAGATCCCTGGACTTTAGGGCCAGGACAGACATAAATTCTTTTTCTCTTCCCTCCCTCTTTTATTTTTCATACAATCTACACACCTATTTCCCACGGAGGCATAACTTGAAGTGTCTGCTTTATTCATCTTGGAACCCTGTCAGAGTAGAGAGTTTGGCCCTCTGACCTCTTCTCCACACGTATTTCCCCTGCTGACACAGGCAGCACTTAGTGCAAGGTTCTTAGTTTGTGAATAGAGAGCATGTGAGGTGAGCAGTGGGCAGACAGCAAGGACATACACCAGACTTTGCTGTCAGTGGGCAGACATGTTTGGTATGGAAAAGTACTGGACTAGGAGTTAAGAAGCCTAGGTCCTGGTCCTAGGAGCTGGGACTCACTAGCTGCATACCCGGTCCTGGTCATTGGCCTCTTTGGATCATACCCCTACCATCTATGCCAGACAAGGGCTACATCTCTAAATCTTCCTTTCAACCCAAAAAAGGAGATAAATCCAAAGAGGAAGTGAGGAGACTAGAAACACATCTAAAGGGAGGTAGCCCTAGAGCATGAGTCCTTTGCCATCAGTTTCTGCTCCTCCATCAGACTGCTGACCAGACCAGGCCCCCTGCTGCATGGACAAAGGCCAACCTCAGCCCTCCTTTCTTGTCTGTGCCTTTTTTTGCCTCCCCAGCAGCCCAGATGCTCTTCTCACATCCACTATTTTCTGCCTCTCAGCCCCTCTTCTTTTCTTCCCTGCTATCAAGGAACTGTTTGCTCATTTGCCTTGCAGGGATAGCTGTTAAGGGTTCATTTCCTAAGAGAGAAACTTCTAGCACTCTATCTTGGCCCTGTGTCTCTGGCACTACCCTCTACTGTTTGTAACCAACTCTCTCCTGTTTTCTCTTTGCCTGTGTCCTCCCACCTTTCCCTACCCTTTCCCAGGTTCGATCCATTAGCACCAACGTCCGGAGAAACCTGGCCTTCCACACACTCAGCCAGGAAGTCCTGCTCAAGGAGTTCTCCACTATCTCCTGAAGCCACGCCTACCTGAACAGCCACTGACTGCCCTTACCCATGAGGCTCCTGGGGGATCAAGGGGAGGGGGGCTGCCCCAAGGTTGGAGAGAAACACAGATACCAAGTTCTCTTGGTGAAGGCCGTGCTTCAACAAAGCTTGGACAGCAGGGGCAGGAGGGGCAAGCCAGGGATGATCGTATTTGGGGAGAAATGGGTGGGCACAGAGAGAGACCTCCAGGAATGTGGGGACTTCCAGGGTGGGCTCCCTGGATAGCCCTTCACATTTCCAATTGAGAGTACAAGTTGTGGCTACTGACTAATTTTCAGGAGCTGTTGGGTTAAGCTTCAGGGTGATGCCAACACCTTGAAGTTCAGTGGCTTTCCTTGGCTTCTGAAAATAGATCAACACTCAGCTGGATGTAGCTGGAGCCCCATCCTGTTTCCTTTGGGCTTGGGGCTGTGCTAGGCTTGAAATCTATGTCCCCTGTCCCTGCTGGCACTATGTCCAATCATTAGGACCCTTAGCTCAGGCTCAGGGCAGGGTAGGAATGAGGTACCCTTTTTCTGTTTTCTAAATTCAGAGTTGACTCCTCTGGGAAACTGGAGATTAGAATCTGCCCAGTGCTCTGCTGTCCTGCCACCACTTTCTGGATTTCAGTATTGGTACCGGGAATACCTGTTAGCATTCACCTTCTTCCAACCCATTGACTCATCAGCACAATAAGGTCACAACCTTAGCTTTTCATTTTTAATCTGGTTTAAATTGTCTTTAGGGTATGTGTGTGAAATAAACATTGACAGGTTTTCTGGAGCCCTCAAGGTGCCTATTTTGCTGGTTCCCTTTCCAGCAGCTTCCCCACCTCCCTGCCACCCCCTCCTCTGGGAGCCTCTCCTGCCTCTGCTGAGCTCCCCTCCACATGTCCCACCCCCTCACCCTGCTGTTGTTTACATCTAGCCTGCCTGAGAATTTCCTCTGGGAAGGAATCTGTTCCTGCTGTGGTCTGGTGCCTGGGAGGGAGAGAACCTGCTGGAGGCAGGGTGCCCTCCATCTGAAAGACACCAGGTGAGCATCCTGCACAGGGCCTCCTTTCTGTCCGCTCATATTATGGGTTGGGGCCATAGGAAAATCTCCTGACCTTAGGGAAGTTGCCCTGTGGTTCCTCCTTTGGAAAGCCTGCATGGGACCACTATAGGCTTTCCCTACCCTACAGCTGCCTCTGAAATAGCTGCTACTTTGATATCCTCCCTTTCTAAAGCACTTTCTGAAGCCCTTGGGATGGTGGGGAGCAAGCAGCACCAGAAGAATCTGGGATAAGTGCAGGAATCCAGCAGCAAAAGCAAGTCTGCAACCTCGATGGCCACTATCTATTTAACCTCATATCTCTTTTGGATACCTTCCCTCCCTGGGAATCAGAGTTCTGGCTCCCACATTGAGAAGATATGCACTAGTTCCAGAGAATCCACTAACAGGCTGCCATGTATAGATGTAGATTCTTAAAAGATCACAGGCTGGGTCATCTCTGATCACTAGATGGTAGCTCAGCCTGGGGCATTTAGTGTTTTCCATTGTGGTAACCCCCAGGGCAGCTGGATCTGGATCCGGTGGCAAGTTGAAGTTATTAAAAATTAATTTGTGTGGGACAGTCTTTAGTGTCTTTTTTAATTATTATTAATTTCTGTTGCCCAGGCTCATTTCTAAGACAGAGTTAAGGTAATCTCCCAGGTGCTGGTCCCATCTGGCTAGGGACCCCTGTCTGTCTTATAGACTCTCCTCCTCTGACTTTCCTGGCCCTAGTGAGGCCAGCTGGGTTCAGAGATTTGTAGCCTCCCTTGCCCTCTGGGTAGAAGGAGGGAGAAGGGAGTTCCCTTATCTCCAAACTTTGTGGTATTGAGTTGCTCGGCCAGCCCATTTGGCTACTTCTGAATTCCTGACAGCCTTTCCTATAAAGTGAACAATGACAGGTCTATGGCATGGGGCACTAAGAAGACTACTTGCCCTCCATTGTAAAGGCCCATCCCTTGGCCTGTTTCTTCACCTACATTTATGCCAGGAACTCCAAATAGGAGTCCCCATTTCTCCTGGAAATCAACCTTGAAATCAACTATGGAAAGCTGCCCGTGCTCTATCTATGTCCAGCCTCTATGCCAGGTCTGTGGAGGCTCCTCTAGAGCCAGGGGGTAGCCAGGAGCAGGGCATTGCTCCTAAAGACTATCCTACCTTCAGCTGCTTGTCCCCTTCTTATGCCGGAACTCCTGCCACAATTCCTGCTGGGTTGATTGTATCAAGTGGTTGGAAATTAAAGCCAATTGAAGAAATTAAATGTACTTGAATATTTTAGCTAAAACTTTTGACGTTAGCTCCTTCAGACCCACCAGACATGATCCCCCTATCCTCATGGCAAGTGGGGGGCTCTTGGGTGGGGAACCCAGGAACCATCCTGGAGAAGGTGAGACATGTGGGGCTCAATCGTCTCATAGCCATTCCTGAGTGATGAGGGAGCCCAGCTCTGTGCTAACCCCTGCCTTCAGAAAAGGAGCTTATCTGGAGGGATCTCATAACACAGGCATTTCTTTTCTCCTCCGCATCCTCACCTGGATCCCCAAACCCATCAGTCACTCCCCAAATCTGCTAGAGAATGAGGAATGTAGGACAGGACAGGTGGCAAAAGAGGGGCAGAAAAGTTGGGGTTGGAAGGGAACAAAAGAGCAAGAAAGTCTTGAGAAACTGACCTGGTTCACTCTTTTTTTTCCCTTATCTTCCTAATTGGCCAATGGGGGGGGGGTGTCATTGGATTGATAAGGAAAACTCCCATCTATTACTTGGAACATCAGCCACCTGAGACCGCCACCCCTCATGGAAGACCCACATCAGCATAATACTAACCTATTACCTGGTGGGCATTAGCCACCTGATACCCCACCCCTTGGACCACCCCAACTTAATAAAAATGGGAAAAATCAGGTAGATGGGGCTCAGAATTTGGTGGTGAGACCCCTCTGAGCCCCCTGGCGAATAAACTTTGATTCTCCGACTCTCTGTGTGCCCCTGGGTTTGTCCTCGGAACCACCCGCTATAACAATATCAGAGAAGGAGACCTCCTGAGAGTGAGCGAGGCCCAGAGACAGGGTCCTGGAGTGGGTGAGAATTGAGATCCTTCTGGAACTTGAGAGAAGAGAAAACTGTAGTCCGTTGGCCTGAGACGAGCTTATTATTAGAGACTGGGTTGACTCTTCCTTTGCATCCCCAACCGGCTTCCAACAAGGTGGGGGCTAGCTGGGACCACAGAAGACTGATACACGGATACATGGGAGGAGGAACGACAGAGAAAATAGGGACTGACATGAATACAGACAGAACGTGACTCAGAGACACCCCAGGTTCTGTCTTGGTCAGAACAGTGCTGACAATGGGGGAAGAGGTGCCTGAGAAATAGGGGCGGGGTTTCCTAGCAGTGGGGATTTTCTGGTCAGCTCTTCGTTTATACCCTCCTCCCCTTCCCCTTGCCCCCCCCTCCGTGGCATGTGGCTTCAGTTTTAGGGGGTAGTGTCGCTGCGTTGCTGGAGAGCTAGTCTCTCTCCCTGCACTTTCCAGTTCACCCTTTCACCGGGTGCCTCCCCCCCCCAGCTGCAAAGGGTGGGGGGCGGGGGTAGGGGGAGCCAATCCCGACAGCGCCAAAGGGGGGAGGCGGCGGTGACAGCCGCGGGGAGGGGGCGGGAGGAGAGAGGCGGCTCTGCTCGAGCTCTGCTTGCTGCTCAGCTCCGTTCTGCCTCCGGCTTTGCACTCACCTGCTGCCTAAGCTGTCTGCTCCTGCCCCAGGACCCCCAGTGGGCCCTAGACCCCGGGGCAGTCCCCAGACTCAGCCCCTGCTCAAATTCTCCCCAGCCCCTAGCCCCAACAGCACGCTAAGCCGCCAGGGGGCGCCGTGCGAGGGCCCTATCCCGGCCACCGGCGCCCCCTCCCACGGCCCAGGCGGGAGGGGGGTGCCGGGGGCCATGCGGGGCCAGGGCCGCAAGGAGAGTTTGTCCGATTCCCGAGACCTAGATGGGTCCTACGACCAGCTCACGGGTGAGTCGGTGATCTGGGGGTCGCGGGAGGGAGGGTTGGATTCCATCCCCGCAGACCCTCCCACCTCTCTGACCCCAGCCTGGCCCCTACCCACACTGTCCCATTCCCAGGCACCCTCCTGGCTGGTCTGGGCGGCAGAACACTGGGGTTCAAAGCCTTGGGTCCCCCCCCTGCGGGGGATGGGGGAGAAGCAGGAGGGGCAGGTGTGGAGAGGCAGCAGGTGTAGGCGTGTGTGACACAGGGCTGGGAGGGTGTCTGGAGTGGGAGGTGTTACGTGAGTGAGCGCCTGTCATTCTTGTGTGTCTGTGTGTGTATACGTGTGTGCCTCCCACAGCTGGTTGCCATGTGCACTGGGCTTGGTGACAGCCAGGGTGAGTGTGATTGTGTGTGGCAGTGCAATTGTCAGATGTTTGAGTGAGGTTGTGTAGGACCCTGGTTGTACTGATGAAGTTGTTTTGACCATGTGTCTGTTGTATGTACAACTATACGTTTTGAGTGTGTAATGCTGTTTAAAGTGACATGTGACTACGAGAATGTATAGGACTCCACTTCAGGGTGATTTGTCTGTTTTTAAGACTTCATGACCATGACCATTCTGGGGTGAGCATTTGTTAAAGTAGGTTCTGTTGTGTTTTATGATTGTGAGACTATATGGATTCTATTGGTGTTTGATGCTGATAGTGTACTTCCATGTGGTGATGTCTGCAGGGTTTCTGTGAGTGTCCGTGACATGTCTTATCCTTGCTGCCTCTCTGGTTTCCTGGTGCAGATGGAGGTCTTTAGTGTACCCCACTGCTTCCCCACATTTTCCACAAATAGCCTAGGGGGACCCAAGGAGGGACTCTAGTGTCCAGCTGCCCAGCCTTGCTCCCAGGAGCACCCTATGGTCCCAGCACCTGACTCATGTAGGGAGGCTTTGATTAGTGCTGGGTCGGTCCTCCCTGCCCTATTCACATATTCAGATTATTCTCACAACTGAAGCTCCTTCAACCCCCAACAACTCTTCCAGAACTTCACCCAAACCCCAGGAAAACACATCTTCTTGCCTCCCTACCAGAGCCAGAGATACAAGCTCTAGGCCTGGGAAGTGCCATGTGGTTTCCCTTTTGTCCCCCCCCCCCCAACCACTTTGCTGCCCAAGCATCCTCTCTCTTCCACACTGGGGCGGTATGTGAAACCGGTACCTCTGTGCATGTGCATGTTCCTGGGATTGGTAGACAGATCCATGTGTCTGTGTAGGTGACTGTGTCACCCTGTGTACATTTCTGTGCATGTGTGTTTGTGTCTCTCTTTGTGCAGCCTACTCAAGAACCTCAAGAGGGTGTGGGAAGAGGGAGGCTGTCTCTCCCCTGAGGCCTAAACAAAGCTGAGAGGTGGAGGGAGGCATGGTCCTTGTCCTTCCTGAGGGGAGTGAGGTTGTGACCTGGAAATAGGGGAGAGGATTAGGATGTGGTGCCTTGAGAATAAGTGTCTCCCCAACTCACTGACCCTTGGGAGGCCCTAGTTGCAATGCAGAGACTCCCTTAAAGGGGGACGGACTCACTCAGGCAGGCCTCAGATGTGAGAGAGTGCTAAGAGTGCCTCACACCTGGATGGCTCTGCTATAAATTCTGTTCCCACCGCCAGTTTAGCATTCTTGATAGTAGTATGGGCCTAGGGCCCTCATTAGCATCACATTAGTCAGTGTTTGCTTTTGGCTTTGATTCTCCCCTTTAGTGAAATCCTCCTTTCCCCACTTGCCTATTTGAATCAGATTGGGTGAGAGTAGGGAAACATTTGTATTTGAAGGTGCACTGCCTCAGGTCAGTCAGGAATGAATGAAAGTGTACCAACGGTGTGACTTCTGTTCTCTTGGGCTCACTCTTCTCATCTGTAAAATGAGGAATACTACTTCCTGCCTGGCTGCCTCCCCTGGAAAGTAGAAAGGTCAGATGTTGACAAGCATCAAAAATCATGGTCTAAGTCATCCGCATCCTCGCTTTAGATGGCTCCACACGACTTGGAAAGTAGAAATAGGACTACAGGAGTCTCCTCTCCAAGGAAGGCTTATCTTATACCGGCAGAGAAATGGGGTTGGGAAGCCTATGTTAACGAAGCCTCCGAGCCCTAGCGGGCGGCGCTGAGCGCTGGGAGAAGCCAGAACTGAAGCCAAAAGGGGAGTCGTTGTCCGCGGTGCTGAAGAGCACTCCGAGCTTCCCCTCCCCTTCCGTTCCCTCCTGTCCCCTTCCCTCCCCTCCCTTTTCCTCCCCTGTGCAGGCGGGATTCCTGGGATCAGATGTGGAGTAGTCTTCAGTCCCCGTCATCCTGGCCGTCCGGCTTGCAGAGAGGCGGCCTTAAAATTATACCTCAGTGCATCTTTGGTCCCTCCGACCGCTTTCCTTCCCCACTCCCACCCCAAGCTCAGAACAAAGGTGGGAGAGACTTTTTTTTAAGGAAAAACAAAATCGGAGCCCCACCCCGACCCCCATCTAATCCCTCAGGTCTTCCCAGCCCGGCGCGGCCAATTGACAGTGCGGCTCCGGGGGAAAGGCCTCCATCAGCGGCCCCGTTAGAGCGAAAGCAGAGAAAGGACAGGAGAAGATGGGAAGGGAGTTGGAACCCGGCTGCTCAGGCCTGAGCTCTGGTCCCTGGGACTAGGAACTTGGAGTCCGGTCCCTCTAGCTGTTAAGTATCGTTCCGGGGACTAGGGCGCCCCCGTGTGTCTTAGAAAAGCCATGAATATGGAGCTGATTCTGAATGGGGACCATCGCCAAGTCAAGAGGGCAAGATTTGGACGGAGTTTGAAGGCGACTCTCGCCACTGAAATGTAGGGTTTTCAAACAAAAATACGGGATCCCAGTCGGAGGAGTAGGACTATATCTCTCCTTCAGGCTTTCCCAGAAGTTTGAAGGCGTTAGAGAGTCCTGGAAGGGTTTGCTTTGGGTCTAACCTGCTAGGGATAAGTCTGCAGTCCGGGAAAGGGGGCGGAGCAGGGGCTGTGGGTGGATTATACTAGATGCATTTGGCTGGTAGCCCTCGTATGATTGGTAGAGTCTGTGAACATGCGGGACCAAAACAGACGCAGAAAGTTGTGCAAGGGAGTTGGAGCCAGGAGGCAGGTATCAGTATGGGCACATCCCTGCCGCCTCTTCTTTGCCACCTCACTACACTGGCCTCTTTCTCCCTCCTGTTCTTTCTCCCATTGGTCCAGGAAGTATGGAAGTGTGGGGGATTGCCATGACAACTCTGTCCTCCTTACTCCTTGGCATCTCTGTGCTAAAAACGGGGAGCAGGGAGGGTGCAACAGGCTGAGGAGGGATCGAAAAGGGCAATAAAAGATAAGGTTCAGCCGGGGTTGGTGAGCTACGATGACGCCACTGCACTCTAACTGGGGCGTCAGAGCGAGACCCTGTCTATAAATAATTAAATAAAATAAGGTTCATTACCCCATCCAGCTATTTTCTCAAAACCCGTGTGTGCCCAAGCTTCCCCGCCAGAAATCCACTGCCCCTTCCCCCGCTCCGCCCCAGTCTAGGAACTTTGGGGGCGGGTATTCCAGATGATGGGGCCAGGGTGTTCCCCTCCTGCAGCCAGAAGATGGGGAGGCTCCGCGGCTGGAGATCCGGGCCTGCCAGTCCGGCCCTCCCGCGCCGCCCACGCAGGGCCCACTCGGCTGGGGGAGGAGACCCGACCGGGCCTTGGGGGCGGAGCTTGGCCACAGAGCTTTCAGCTGAACCATGAACCGCTGCCCCCGCAGGTGCCGGAGCCCGCTGGGGCTGGCAGCGCGGTCCCTTTACCAGCTGGTGACTGGGTCGCTGTCGCCAGGTATGAGGAAGGGAAGGGAGGGGCAGGAACCCTCAAAAAGTGAGCGAAGTGGGATAGGAGCCTCACAGAGGTGGGGAGGGGAAGGGCCCCTCACAGAGATGGGGGGAGCAGGATTCCTTTAAAAAAGGGTTTAAAGGGCAAGATACTTGACTAAAGTGGGACAAGGGATAGGGTCCCTCACAGAGCAGGAGGAAGACACATAGGGGTTTTCAAAGAGGAAAGGAGAAGGGGCATCGTGGTCCCTTACAATGGTGGAGGGGGCAGGGCTTCTCACAGAAGGCAGAGGAGGGGGCTGCAAATAAGGGTAGGGCTCCTCACAGGGGTGAAAAGAGGAAGCCAACAGCAGAGCAGAGCAAAGGCACAGCCTTTAATGCACTGCTTAGGTTGAGGGGGTCTTAAGATGATGGGCCAATGTCCAGAAAGGAAAATCCCTGAGGTGTGACTGGACCAACATAAACTCAGCTAGCAAGTTCATGCGTGGCAGGATGGATAGACTTGTGTGGCATTAGGACAGTATGTCACTGTTTTGTCTATCCATGGGAGTGTTCATGGGATTGTACATTACTAAGTTGTACATCAGTGGGGCCGTGCATTACTGAGGTTGTGCATCCCAGGAATTGTGATTGCTGGGACTCTGTGACACTGAGACTGCACATGCCTAGAGTTCTATGCTTTAGGGTTGTGTTGGGGGTTCCTGAGTCACTTAGTTGTATAGCCTCCATGAAGTTGTACTTTGGTGTGAGATTTGTGGAATGTGTGGATTGTGGGTATCATAGGGCACAGCTAAGATTTGTGCATACCTCCACATAGGTTCCTTGGGGTTGCTTGGGCAGGGCCCACAGAACCCAACATCCCCTCTGGACCTGGCCTCATGGAGACCAAAACAACCTAGTATCATGGCATTCTGGAATCTGTAATTCTCTGGCTCTCTCCATGGGTATCCACTTAAGCCCCTGGAGTATAGGCAGGACCTATGTCCTCTGCTTGCCATGTGTCCCCCAGAAGGAGAGGAGATGAGGCTGAGCCAGAACCATGCATGGAAATCTCTTGGGAATCATGCAACCCCCAAGCCCCCTGCTTGGCTTGTCTCTAGTGACAGATGGCTGGAGCCAGGCAGAGCCAGCTCTCAATCATTGCAGGCATGACTTCCAGGCCCCAAAATAGCCCCAATGTCTAGGGAGGTCATTAATCACCTG